TAACCTCAAAAATCGCCCGACCGACCACCGTATCCATGTTGACTCGCGCTTACTTTCTTACTGACTTGCTAAAACCCTAGCAATCACCGGTCCTTCGTAAGGAATCATGTCTTTCCAACTATACCGCAGAGGTAAGATTGGTATTTTGCACTGTTACGTAAATTGAAGTCGCTGACTATTTTGCTAACATTCGCCGCCTGTTTTGGAACTAAAGAATTTTTGAGTTTTGCCAAGGCCCATTAATTCTGCCATCCATGGGTCAAGTATTTGGAACACGGCAAACGCTCATATATTTTTTATTGTTTCTAATCTTTATATATCTGGAGAGTTTCCCCTCCTTTTTTTTTGACTTTCCTCCAGATTTCGGTACTCACTCACTATCTCAATTGGCCCGCATCTGGTTCGATAGACACTGAAATATTCAGGTATAATTAACGATAGACTACCAAGGTCACCCCATGGCGGACTTCAAAGGCACTTCCTCTGGTGGAGTGTTCGATCAGAATACCAATCAAGGAGATTTACATAGAAGAAACGTCGTCGGTATGGAGGAAGGTCCTGATGCTGATGCGCAACTCGCTGCTGAGTTTGGATACAAACCTGTATTCAAGAGAGAATTCGGATACCTCTCGACTTTCTCCTTCGCCGTTTCTATCAGTGGATTGTTTGCTACTACCATGACCACTTTCTCCTACCCAATTATGTCTGGTGGATCTGCCGCGGCAGTATGGTGTTGGGCAATCTCTGGTGCTGGTTGCATGTGTATTGCTGTAAGTTCAATGTTAACCACATTTTTTGCTAAACATCTTGCTCATTTGATATTAGCTTTCTGTCGCTGAGCTGGTCTCTGCATATCCTACCTCCGGCGGTCTATACTTTGCAATTTCACGACTCACACCAACGGAATGGGTACCATCCATTAGTTGGGTCACTGGTTGGTTGAATCTTCTTGGACAGGTTGCTGGTGTTGCCTCCTCCCAATACGGTGCATCTCAAATGCTGTTAGCGGCCGTCTCCATTGGAAAAGATTTCGATTATACAATTAATGCAAATACAACGGTCGGTGTAATGGCCGCTTTGATGCTTCTTACTGGATTGGTGAATTCACTATCTACCTACTGGATGGAAAAGATGACAAAGAGCTATGTTATCTTCCACGTTCTCGTTTTGGTATCGTGCTGCATCGCTCTTTTGGTCAAAACCCCGAACAAGCATGATGCCACCTATGTTTTTACCAATGTTGATTCAACCTCCGGTTGGACCCCTGTCGGATGGAGTTTCCTCTTCGGCTTCCTCTCCGTTTCCTGGACCATGACCGATTACGATGCTACCGCTCATATCACTGAAGAGTAAGTAATCTAACACTTTCTTGGACCATTTGGGCTAATCAATCTATTAGAATTTCTGAACCAGAAAAGAAAGCACCCTGGGCTATCTCTATGGCTATGCTTTTCACCTACGTTGCTGGATTTCTTTTCAACATCGTACTTTGTTTCTGCATGGGTGACCCGGCCGACATTCTTGGCACAAGCATTGGCCAGCCAGTCGCTCAACTTTTTTATAACAGTCTAGGAAAGGCAGGTGGTATCTTCTACACCGTTTGCGGATTCATCATCCTTGAATTTGTTTGCTTTACTGCTATGGTATGTTATAAATCCCGCTTACCGTTGGCAAGAATGGGCTGACATCGAATCTAGCAATCATTGGCCCGAACTGTTTTTGCCTTCTCCCGTGATAAGCTTGTACCATTTTCCAAAGTTTGGACACGAATTTTACCCATTACAGGAACGCCCATTGCAGCCGTCTGGATTTCTGTCGCCCTCTGCATTGCTATCAACCTTATCGGTCTTGGATCATACACTGCTATTTCTGGAGTCTTCAATGTTTGCGCCATTGCTTTAGATTGGAGTTATTGTATTCCAATTGCGTGCAAACTTTTCTTTGGCAAATTCGAGCCAGGTCCATGGCATATGGGTAAATTCAGTACTGCTGTAAATGCATGGGCCTGTATCTGGACTCTTTTTGTCAGTATCATCTTCATTCTCCCGACCGAACGACCAGTGACTGCCCTCAACATGAACTACGCCATCGCCTTCCTAGGATTGATCCTAGGCTTTTCTACCATCTACTGGTATGTTTCTGGCAAGAAGTTCTACACCGGTCCTGTCATCGAGGCCGCCGACGAAGACTCCCTACGAAATTCGTTGGACCGCGACTCGAGACAGGAGAAGGTGGAGAACCAGAAGTCATAAACCTGAGGTTTGGGTTATGATTATATTTCTAGAGATCATGATTGATGATTTGATGCGATTCCGATGCGACGTGTCTGCCATTGCGACTTTTGATGAAGGGAAAAAGGGATAACAAAAGAGCCATTGCGACTTGTCATGTTGATGTGCGGTGCAGGAGGATTTTTTTTACTAAGATACCATTTCATTTCCCATTGCGACACAGACCTATTGCGCCTTCTAAAAGCTACTGCGCCTTTAAAAGAACTAAAATATAAATACAAGAAAAAACATATGCAAAACAACCCAAAGCGCACCGAGGCTCCGTTTTTGGCGGGAAAGATACATTTTGATCTGATCTGATCTGATCTGATCTGACAGATATTGACTATGGGAATGAAATCACGTGAAGATAAGCAGCTGCCAACGTTGATAACATTAGCCGAGGTCTGATTTTTTTGCCCCTTCATCGATGAGAGTGAAGCAAAAGTTTCTGAATTCTCTCAACTGTGGTCATTACTGCCAGGTTACCCGCATAATTGCTTTGCCATTGCCAACGGTGTGTTGAATGCACCTTGATCAAAAGCAATTGAAATAATGGCGGTCACTCAAAACCAACGGTTCTTGGTGAGAAAAGTTCAAATGAACAATAATTTTTCCTGAGCAAGGTCATTGTTCCGAAAATAAACTGGGGAACTTAAGGGTCGATTGATTAATGATTTCCGCTCGTAAACCCACTTTTGTTGGAATTGAGAGATTGAGTCAAGGTGTGGGTTTGCTTGTGGTGTTATGAGTCTGTTTTTGATTGGGATGTGAGGTTGGATTTGCATGTGTGCTGGGAATTACAGAGTAGGTATGGTGTAGTGGGAAAGAGTAGGGAATGGGAAGTGGAGCAAGAGGTACGACTTATGTGCATCAAGTTTTGGGGAAGAGACTGGATTTTGTGCAGGCAATGTACAAGCGACGAATGACGGGGATCTAGGGACGATACTGTAGGTAGGTCAAGATGATGGCAAATTGCTACTTAGGTTGATGACGAATGTGGTTACTGTGAATTGTACCGAGTAGTCTGGCAAGTTGGGGAAAGGTAGAAAGAAATTGGGGGGAGAAGAACAAGAAGTAAGAGAAGAAAGGGGTGAGAGATGAATTACTTTGGGTTTCTGAGAGGAGTGACAGGAACATGATGGCGACAATGAATACAACTTTCTTGCATCAAGATCGTCTGCACGTTCAAGGATCTATTTAACACTGCCAGTTTTTGTTTGAGACAGGCTGTATTTTGATGCTTCAAAATCCCTTGGTTTGAGAAGCCTCGTGCTAATGTTTAGCAAAATCTTGTAGTAGGTGTCTCGATCCTCTGAAGCTGTACAGCAAATCTATAATTGCCATTGCCATTGCCATTGCCATTGCCATACGCTAGGGGATACGCCGCTCGCCGGCAGACATATTTTAGAATTACTTTTTCGACAGTTGAAACCCCACTATTAAAATTTGCAGAGGCTCTAGGTAAAAAAGCGTTACGGCGAAAATCTTAGCCCACTTGATGGTTTTATGCAAACCGTGATACATATCAGATTATTTGATCAACGCACAGTGTCGGATATTAAAGGCATAGGATTATACATGTGATTCATTCCCTTGTTAATCCAACGGGTTTATTATCATTTACATGCACTTGCAACTGCATCGTTCCTAGCATATAAAAAAAATATGATGTGAGATTTATCGGAAGCGGTGGTCGGAAAATGTTTCGATGGACCCTGACTTGGCATACGGCTTCGTTTGCCGATGTTGTCATTGTTGTCATTGTCTTGAAGATTTTAGAAGTCTATATCAAAAGAACTGGTCACTATTCTGTTCTTAGAATTGATACTCGAATAAAGTTGTTGATTGCTCGTGTTTACTAACTTTAAACTGCAAAATACAAGGAAATCCGCCAATTTTGCATGTCGAAAAAAAGTTAACTCGTTGACTTTTCGTGAAGCTCGCCAACGTGCTAACTCGGTTTAGTTAAGTCTCCTCGGTAAGCGGCTGCAAAAATTTTCATTTTCAGCAAAGTGATGCGCATACTCGATTTTGAAATTTATACATCAGCTCACAGGCCAAGTATTGGCCCTCTTTAAAAGAACAGATTATCAATAGAATTGGATTTCTCGGGGTCAATCGGTCTGAGTCGTTTGACAGAGTAGTATTATGTTGGGGTTAAAAGGCTACCAGTCAGAAGAGCAGGACTTATCTTCCTCGATGGATTATTCAATCTGGATGGGGATATTGGGGCCAGATGCTAGGACATGACGCTAGCTCGCACAAATTTCTTTGACAGACAAGAATTTGCTATATGGATGACTCTTCCCTTCTTATGTCAACTGTTCTCTTCTTTTGATTTCATGCATGCACTCTTTCTTGTTAATATTTTTGAAATTCGTTGTACTGTTGCGTGAGAATTGACCTCTATTATTTAGGATCTCTAGAGTTGGTGATTGGAAGTGCATCGTGGTGAATACTTGCGGGATAGGAGAGGAGTGAAGAGTTTCACGGAATTGTCTGTTACTGTAGCCTTTCGACGTAGTTTGAAATCGTCGAGGTTTTCAGTTTCAGTCTTTTACTGTTGAGTCTTTGCACTGCGTCCCAGGCCCGGTTTCGAGACGGTACACACAGCAGTAGCTGCAGGAAGGGATCTCGGTGAGAGAAGGACAACGCAGCTTGGAAGTTGGAGGAAGATATTACGTTTGGAAATCTCGAAAAGGTTGCGCACGCGCATTTTCTGTCAACATGGCTCCACATATGGAGATGGACTCAATTCAGGCAGCAAATAAGGCCGCGGGAGATGACAAAAAAGATTCGGCTTCGGGTCATTCGTCGCAAGATCCAGAGAAGGCTATTCAGGTGGGCAGTGGGCCGGAGTTGCAGAGGAAGCTAAAGAGTAGACATTTGCAGATGATCGCTATTGGTTCGTTATCTCTATGGACTATCACGTCTTTTCATCTTCACTCATCGCAAGATGGTTGATGAAGGGTATTGGGACAGAATGAAAATACTAATAATGTATACTAGGTGGAACAATCGGCACAGGTCTCTTCATAGGATCCGGATCCGCCATCGCTGAATCCGGTCCAGCAGGTGCTCTCATCGCATATGCATTTGTCGGTACACTCATATACAGCGTCATGATGTCCTTGGGAGAAATGGCAACCTTCATTCCCATTCCCGGAGCATTCACTCTCTACGCAGCACGATTCATCGATCCCTCGCTTGGATTTGCCATGGGATGGATTTATTGGTTTTCCTGGGCAACCACTTACGCTCTTGAACTCACAGCCACAGGTCTCATTATCCAATACTGGGCGCCCCAACTCAACGTCGGCATCTTTATCTCTGTCTTCTTCGTCGTCATCTCTGGCGTCAATTTCCTCCCTGTCAGCTTTTTCGGCGAAATTGAATTTTGGTTTTCTCTCATCAAGGTCATCACCGTGCTGGGATTCCTCATTTTCGGTATCTGTATCGATGCCGGAGCAGGTCAACAAGGCTATCTCGGATTCCACAACTGGGGCAATCCAGGTGCATTTGCGCCCTACCTCATCAATCCCGAGAACCCCGTTTCCAAATTCGTCGGATTTTGGGCTGTACTTATCCAAGCCGGATTTTCTTACCAAGGAACTGAACTCGTCGGAATCGCAGCTGGAGAAACCGAGAACCCCAGGAAGAACGTCCCGGCCGCTATTCGCAAGACATTTTTCCGAATCCTCTTTTTCTTCGTCGGAACAATTTTCTTTATCGGTCTCTTGATTCCATACGACAACCCAGATTTATTATCCGGGAGCTCAGATGCATCTGCTAGTCCTTTCGTCATTGCCGCCAAACTAGCTGGTGTCAAGACACTTCCCGGGCTCATCAATGCCGTGCTCCTCTTCGTCGTTCTCAGCGCCGCGAATTCCAACGTCTATTCCGGTTCCCGTATCTTGGTTGGTCTTGCGGAAGGCAATTGCGCGCCTAAATGTTTTTTGAAGACAACTAGAGGTGGAGTTCCCTATTATGCCGTCGCATTTACCTCTATTTTCGGTCTTTTGGCTTTCCTGAATGAGAGTTCTGGAGGCAGTGATGCATTTGTTTGGATCCAAAATATCTCTGCCGTCGCTGGATTTATTAGTTGGGCTTGCATTTGCGGATGTCATATTGCTTTTATGAAGGCACTAGCAGCCCGGGGTATCAGTCGTGATCGTTTACCTTACAAGTCAATGTGGCAACCTTGGTTTGCGTGGTATGGTTTAGTGTTTACGGTGTTGATTATCCTCACCCAAGGATTCACAGCTTTTATTCCTGGATTCCAGGTCAGAGAGTTCTTCGTGGCGTATATCAGTTTGATATTATTCACGATTGCTTATTTTGGGCATAAGATTGTCTGTAAGACTAGAATTGTGGGAAGTCTGGAGGCGGATTTGGATACCGGTTGTCTGGGATTTGAGGATGAGGGGGCCATTGATTGGGAGGCAGAGGAGCACATGACTTTCAAGGAGAGGGTTGTTGATTTCTTTTGTTAGGAGGCGCGGATGGGATGATCAGGGCTGAGATCGGACAGAGGTAGAAGGAGGTATTTGAATTCCTCCTTCTGGAATTCCTCTAATGATTTGACGGTCGTGAGCATCGTATCCGGAGCTTTTCTGACAACAGTCACGAAGCAGCTTTGTTTTTGAAATGATTGTTATGGGAATTGTATTGATGAGGGCGTTATGATGAATGGGAATGACTTCGGAAGATGAGATGAAACTTTAATATATGGAGATAATTTAGATGATTAGGTAGATAAAATGAATTCCTTACTCTAACTTGGTTGATCTTCATCAGACTGGGGAGGTAAACATGATTTGCTAATCTGGATAGTGGTTGTACGCTTGCAATGCTGCGACATGTTGGCTTGGGGGTAATCATAGAGATGCAGGCGAGAGTTAAAATAGAAATGAGGCAAAGATTTTGAGAAGTGGAGGATACGCCGAATCAGTATAGGTTGTTCAGGAAAAGGTCACGATTAGATATGATGTTGTTTTCTGGTGCAATGAAATTGCATGATGATCTTTCTAGAATGATGACTCAGGTAAAGGCCAGCTGCGAGCTATCGATGTGTATCTAGGTATAGTGATGGTTCTCTCGAAAATAACGAAAGTAAAAGACCTTATATAATCTTCCATTGTACTTCAGATCTCAACACAAGCAATGTAAGGAGTGGTTCACCTCCTCACTTGACCTGAACATAGCGGAAGCCCTCGACTACATATTCGTATAGAGTTTAAACATGAATGTGAAGGAGTCACTTCCATGCCTTGAAAGACGCCTAGTATTTCATCTATCATCTCCATTCACCATCCTTTCAGTTGAATTTCACCAGCCAATCAGATCTTGTCAAAAGTTTTGTTGCATATCTGAAAAATAAAGAAATTGAAAGTGAAGAATCTATTTCATTATAGAAATTTTGAGACAACCTTGCCTAGCGAGGTTACCTGCCTCGCCTTGGTTTGGTCATGAAGATACTGACCCGCTGGAGTCCGTTCTGACGATCTAAGCCGATGACTCTCTAAGCTTAACAAGTTGATTATAGTCTGATTCGACTGGCAGCGCAGAGAATTTCCCTTTTGAAACTTACGAAAGGAACGTTGGAAAGTTTGTTGATAAGTTTGTTGATAAGTTTGTTGATAAGTTTGTTGATCATGAAGGGGGGATGGTCACTTTGCCAGGCAAGTTCGTCTCTAGATCTTCAACAACCCATCAAAGTCGTCCGCACCACGGTCAAACTTTACTTTCAATGCCTAGATATTCAATAGTCTTAAAATTCTGAAGGTTTTCTTGGATGTCTTAACTTGACTACTTGATGGAAAGTTCTCTGTCTATCTAGACTTGGAATGATGAGTTGACTTTCGAACTGTGACTGCTCCAGAGTTAGACAGACAGCAAAGTTGCCGCTACGTTCTAAACTCATTTGTTGAGCATCACTCTTTTGAATTGCTTTTCGGGAAAATAGAGTTTATGCTAAATGGCGAAGCTTTCGTGAGGTCGCGATTGAGTTTATAAGTTAGTCTTGTCAAAAGTCAAGATGTCTTGGTCATGAGTAGTATGACATCTTGTTGACTTACAATTCACGTGATGTGTAGCCAATCAATTTCAGTCTTCGAATCTTGTTGCATGTCTCCAAATTGAACTGCTTGACAGGTACCTTCCTGATTCAATTATGTGAAAGAGAGCGAAGCAAAGATGTGTGTGTGACCTGCTCACAGTGAGGGGGGCATCTAGCTCCTTTCCAATTACAAATTTAGAGATTAGTCAAACCTTACTTCTTTTCACAAAACGTTTCATTGCATTCTCGAAAATGGCATTCTTCATGGTAATGATTTCATAGCTATTTTCTCTGAACAGCTGCACAATCAGCAAAGAGAACAATGACCGTCAAGGCTCTCTATTCCTGGTATTGATGGGGTTCGGTAAAAGAGTCATGAGACCCTGTAGCTATAGGCGTGAATAGCCTGCGGAGGTTTCCGAGTAAGACCAACATCAACAATCTCGCGACGCGGCGGGGAACAAATCTTGCATTTTCAAAACTTCTGTCTTTAAGCTCTTGATACGAGTAGCAAGTACCAGCGAGAGTGCTTTGAAGTTTCTGGTTGCTCTCAACATCTTTACAGTATGCATCCAAGCATCAAAATCTACCTATACTAATTACCGCTTCACGGAATACACTTACTATTTGCTTGCTGTTTGGCCCTGTTAACCTTAGATTAAACACTCCTAGATTCGATTCCACTCGACCACAAAGCACGTATCACTCCGTTCACTTCCTTACTTCGCTTTTACGATGACGATATACGCCAAGTAAGAATGTTGAAATCGACTACCAGCGCGTACGAGTAAACAATCGTTCTACCATGTGCATAACATACGACGCCCCCATATTGTTATTATCTTGGGGGGTATAGCGACCGGACGCTGTTTTACACCTACTTATCTTCACTACACATAAGCAAAGAAGGAAATTTGGAAGAGTGATGTGCGACCAACGGACATGAACTCGGCTCTGTCCTTTGTGTGATATCAGCTAGACATACTTGGATGTCCGATTACCGTAAAAATGGGAAAGAGCGACACGACTTTGAATGTGACACATGCGGTTCATTCTCACCGCAGAATGCAGCAATTGATTGAATATTCAAGCTGTGTGGAGAATGGTAGACTTGTTATTACGAGAAGCTACAATTGTATAGCATGACTAGGTCACCAATTCCAGCATCTCCTCCGATGACAATGAGATATTCGCTATTCACTAATACGGATACGAATATGCTTTATCCTTCGGTCACCGCAGCACTAGTACGAGATGTCTTGTTCATACGGAAATACGATGCGAACTTCCCATTGAAAATGGAACGTTCATCGATAGTTCAGTATGCAATGCCCATCGAATTGGTTCTGCCGCTTTCTACCTGTACATTCATATTACATTACATTCGATATATGCGGAGGTTTGCATGGGAGATTGGGGTTAGTAAGAATGCATAATGCAGTGGAAATTTGTTCGGTGAGTAGTTTGGGGATGTCGGACGGACGTTGCATATGGTGCCATGTGCGATGTGCAACTTGGTATGTTGTGGTACGATAATGATCTGCGGCGTGGGGAAATTGTTGTTTGTATATCGGGTTTCGGGTCGGAGAAGGGATATGGGGAAAACTCGGACTACAGTCTTGATCTAGAATGGAGAAAGATGGATCAATGCCCCGAAGAAGGGAAAAGAGGTAGGTCTTGTTTGCGGCAGGCATTGCAAGGGCAGAGTGTAAGTTATGACCAGGAATTACAGTAAGGCTAGATCACGTCTCTCTTTTTCTTTCCAAGGTAGAAGGGGCATTGCCACATGATATTCGTTCTTTCACGTACGTCTTCTGCGCGTCTTCTGCGAGAACCGTGTTCGAGAGCAACATTTCTCACGGAGAGTCTTATGGTATGGAACTGGCCATCAGCCAGGAAAAGGAAGCTGTGGCATAGCGATTATCACTATCTTTCACAAGTTGCAAAGTTTAAGTCCACGTTAAAATTCAATCAAAACTTATAATAATGGCCTTCTCTATCCGCAATTGTCGCTGCGTTGCGTAGTCGCAAACATATTCCCGCTGACAAACTTCTATGATGTCCATTTTCCAAAATCCGAACAAGCCCAAAATGTTTGCTTTATGCCTGGCGCTGAAACTCCTCTATGATACTCCATCTCAAAATCTAAGTCCGGCTCTCCAACAGCTTCCTTATATCCTACCTAGTAAAAAAATTCCTAACCACAACGAAATTCTTTTCATCCAAGCAAGGAATGAATACATTCATCATCACATTCTCCCTCATTGAACCCAAATTAGCATTTCAATGGGTTTTCCCACATGTAGCCGACCTCTCGGTACTATATCTCGTCTTATGCGCCCCACAACCACAAGAACTGCGGGCAAACATCCGGTAGGCACAGCCAGCAACCAAAACACACACAAAAAGAATCAGGAAAAAAGGAGGCTCTGATAGATGTGAACTGATAGGCTGCATTGGTGCACCAGATGGAACAGCAGGAATCGCTAAATATTGTTTCTGCGGTCGAGCAGGAACATAGGGGACATAGGGATGTGTTTCGTGGAGAGTCGCTTCGAAAAATGGGTTTTCGTGGTAGGACATCTCGTTGGGAAATTGCGGGAAGGGAGACTTTTTTGGAGGAGGAAGAGGAGGCATGCTGAAGCTTCGTCTGTTATCAGATATTTGTTGGTAGTAAGTTATATGGTGAGGTAAGATGAGGGGTATTCGATGATTTGGTGGGGTTTAGTGATGTTTTTTGTTGTATGGAATGCTTTGCTTTGGGCTAGAAATGTTTCGAAAATTCATCTTCTTGTTTTTTCCAGATGCTTCGTTCTTGCCTTTTGCTGTTGAAGGCGTTTGGAAAGTATGGACTGGTTGTCCTTGTGTGGTTTGCAATGGTATGATACAATTAGGTTCACTTAACTACATTCGCCGCTCTTTTCGTTGCAATCATGCTCAAAGATTAGTCTGTTATGGTGACGGATAGCCATTTGGTGAATCAGATGTTTGAGATTCTTACGATCGACATGAATTTTGAAGAATTGAAGAAATTAAGCAAATCAACACGATGATATTGGAGTGTAGAGTTAGTGAAATTGTATAGTTATATCATGTATGCACATCGCGCCATTCATCACATTCACTATGCGTAATAGGATGCTCACCATACTCACCTCCCACATTCGTCTTAGCGAATTGTCATTTTCAAACGGTGTGGGGAAAATTGCCATGTGCATTGCTATCTATACCAATCTTTATTTTTACACACCATGTTCAAACGACAGGGTAAGCTGCACCTTAGAGCCTCCCTTGTCTCATCTGCACCTCTCATTGGTGCTGATGCGCCAGCGCGTATAACGCCTTTTTGGGCCGGATATCCGTTATTGAGGGGCAGCTTACCTTGGGCATCGTATATTTGAGTTTTCCCTGATGATCATCCCACTTCAGTGGTGTTATCTTTTGTATTTTTTAAGATTTCATTCTGTCTTGATTTCGAATTTAATCAGTAGGGATAAAGAACTGGAGTAAAAATGCCTTCGTGTGTATCTCTCCTAGGATCTGAATAGCTGGTACTAACAAATCGATAGCGAAATCGCGAAATCGAATTTGAAAGTCCTGATAGTAGGAGGAGGAATTGTGGGATTGACGTTGGCTCAAGGGTGTAGGGAGAATGGAATTGACTTTGAGATTGTAGAGAAGGATGAGCATGGGAAGAGAGCTCAAGGATGGGCGATTACCTTGCATGTGAGTTTGAGGAGAAAGGGGGATAAGAAGGGGCTGGCAGTAAATGAGTTGGTGACGACGGTGATGTTGATGGTATCATTGATGGAATCACCGATCGATGAGTGGTGCTTCAAATCACGTGTGGAAAGCTGGCAAGATAGTAGGAAGGGCGTGAAGGGACAGTTTGCTAACCAGAAAATAATATAGTGGTGCTTGAGAAGCTTGGAAAGAACGATTGGGGAGAAATTATCCGAGTTGATACCTACGGTAAGACTTTCCTGACACGAAATTTATAGACCGTGAGAACTTTCGTGATAAGTCGGAAGTCGCGAGATGCAGCCATCTTAAGAAAGCCACGTGGTTATAAATTGGCAACACAAAATGATCCGACAGCTAATATGTCTAAACGCAACAGGCAGCCGTTGATCCAACCCTCAACGACGACGATGGAAATTTTCTATTCCTCAACGCCCGTACAGCCTCGCCCCGCTACAAAATCCCACCAAGCAAACTCCGTCGACGTTTGGACCGACAAAAAATCCGCAATGTACTGGCAACTGATCTCGATATCCATGAAGGAAAAGGTCTTACATCGATTACCCCCGCCTCAGATTCTGATCTCGTGACAGCGCAATTTTCGGACGGGACAACAAGTCATGCCACCTTGATTGTAGGTGCTGATGGAAATAATAGTGTGACGCGAAAGTGCTTGTTTAATGGATCAGATGCAGCCAACTTGACGAAACTGCCTGTTTACTGTATTGGAGTCGTAAGGCCATTTACGGAAGAGCAAATTTCATCTGTAAGAGCTATCGATCCATTGTTATTCCAAGGGCTAGACCCAGAAACTGGAAGTTATATGTGGTTTAGTTTGCAAGAGATAGTCCCCAAAGACGATGGAAGTAGGAGCTACAAAGGGCTGATAGTTTTCTCTTGGTTGATCAAAGATGAGGTTGCGGATGTGATGCCGAAGACTGATGCTGAGAGAGTGGCGTATATGAAGAAGAGGACGGAAGGATTTGCAGAACCATTGAGGAGTATTGTCACGGGCATTCCGGAAGATATTACGACGACCCCGTTGAGATTGAGTGATTTCCCGACGAAGGAATGGGATAATTGGGGTGGAAAGGTTACATTGGTGGGCGATGCGGCGCATGCCATGACGATGTAAGTTCCTTTAGACTTCTTGATCTCTTGATCTTACCCTTGCCATCGTATGATTTCGAAATTCGAGAGCAAATTGATGCACATAAGTTGGTATGAATTAACATGATAAATAGGTATCGAGGCGAAGGGGCCAACCACGGAATTTTGGATGCAGCTCTTTTAGTTGATCAATTGAAAAAGGTCAAAGCTGGGGAAATCACACAAAAAGAAGCAATTGATGCGTACGAAGCAGAGATGAGACCAAGAACTCATGAAGCAGTCTTGAAGAGTAGACAAGCTGCACTGGATGCTCATGATTGGAACGTGTTGACTGAGAATTCTCCTGTGATTGGGGGCAGATTTGCTCCTCAAACTGCTTTTGTTTGATCGGAAATGGAACAGGATTGAAGAATTAGATGGTCCGAGGCAAATATAAAGAGGGATGGACAAATTTAGACAGATAAAGAGGTAGACATTGATTCACGTATGAAACGGTATGGTACGGTAGTTGTTGAATCGGAGGTTTTTTATACAATAAATCGAGGTCCCATGTCTAGCGACTAGCGAATCCTGCAAATGGCTGAATCTTTTTGATGTCGAGTGGTCCACCCAAGAGTCCCTCCTCAGACAAAAGCTTCCCAAGCTCAATGAAGTAGGATGTACCCATATGAGCAGTTAATGCGGCTTCATCTTCATCTAGTTGTTGTTAGTATTTGTAATGCTGCACGTGCCATCTATACTTTTATGACTGAAGATGGGCAAGCGGAAGATGGTGGGACGAGAGGAACGTACAGAATTCTTGGATTACGAAGACATTTCCTTTTTCACCATCGTATTGTTCGAATGCTTGGTATTTACGAACTGCTTGTTCGTTCTTCTCGACTTTGTTTGCGAGGTCGGTGATAATTTCTCGGAGCTGGAAAAGGTATGTTAATTCGGTTGGTATTAGTTGAAGGAGAATATTAAGGCACATACACGAGCCTCCTTTCCCGGTGCGGGAGTAATAGTCGCTAAGCAGTGAATTGGTGCCATAATGTATATGTCAAGATTTATTCGGATATGAGGCTCTTAGAGATTTGAAGAAGGTAAATAAAGGAGGCGTTGAAGAAATAATTGAAGCCCCAAACACTCAATTTAACAACTCAGAGACCGAGGTCATTGCTCGGAAGCTCGGGATCCCTCATAACCTAATTCATCGGACTTACTAATAGATGAGCTTGCCGTGCTTGCTTGATAATTTGACAATAAACTCAATTGTGATACAGGAAACCCTCTCTATAAGGATCCGTGTATAAGGATAATCTCTTTATAAGGATACATTTCTGGGTCCCAACAATTTTAGGCTTAAAATGACATGTATCCTTCAAACTTTTGTATAAGGATATCCTTATATTTTGAGACCCTAGGACTATGTGTATCTTGATTGAAGTAGAAAATATCTTAGAACTATGACCCGATCGGAATTAACTCACAAAAACCGGTATCCTTACGGAGAGGTTTTGCTGTAGGTTCAAAATTGGATCAATTCTATACTTTGCTCCGCAACGATTGGTAATGAGCGTCGGTGGAGCCGCAGAATTGGTGCCTCAAATTCGGTTTTGACAAAAATTTCAAGATTCGTAGATGATGTCAGTATGACTTCATATCGAATGCATTTACCGGCCACTCTCGCAACAACAATGCATTGCAAATATTCAGTCGAGGCAGTAGACTTTATCGCTCAAAAAGGAGCAACATGCTCACCAAAGCGGTGAGACGCGGCACTATGAATACCACATTTATTCGAATTCAATCAGAACGTCTACTCGTACTATCCCCAAGGACATCGCGTTCCCATAGGCTTAGCACTGAAATTCAGTCCCGCACAATGAATGTAAAGTTCACTTCCGTATGGATCTGATCAATTACTATACCTGAGGCTTGAAGATGTTAACACTAGCTCACGTCTCACAATTACAAATCTTGTTGTCCGTATCTCAATTCGCTTTCTATCATTACGTCGTAGAGATGTTTGTTTTAGTCTCAAAGACTCTTCGAGACCAACTGCCGACGCACAGGAGGTATGCGAGTGAGTATGCACAAAGTCTTCTAGAAATACGCCATCAGCCAATGGCCAGGTGCGGGGTTGATGTGATGCTTTCATGGTTCATGAACGAATGAACGTCCGAGCCTGGAAACATCCATAATGTAGTTAAAACGAGGGGAAGACGATGCCATCATACTAGAATGATATGTATCCTGGGTACTTGTAGGTAAAGGTTAACATTCCACCTCAAAGACATAGGTTTTGCATAAAAATAGCCTCCAAGATGTCTCAGACGCAAACAATGAAAGCGGTTATATACCAAGGTAAGACCGTTAATTATATCCCAAGTACACTCTTAAAGACCGAATGATTGACATTTATGTTATACAGAACCCTTCAAAGTAACTGTCGAAGAACGCCCACTGCCAACAATCAAACATCCGGATGATGCACTGGTTAAGGTGACGACAGCCGCAATCTGCGGGAGTGATTTGCACATGTATCAGGGAAGAACGGCTGCGGAAGGTGGATTATGTTTTGGACATGAAAATATGGGCATAGTAATCGAGACCGGTTCTGGTGTTCAGCATATTAAGAAAGGGGATCGTGTGGTGATGCCGTTTAATGTGGCAGATGGTAAATGTAGGAATTGTGAGGAGGGCAAAACAGCTTTTTGTACAGGTGTTAATCCGTAGGTCTCATCTAAGCTTGAGCTTCTGTTTACACTTCGTTAATTTCATTAAGCGGATTTGCAGGCGGAGCGTATGGATATGTTGCAATGGGCCCTTACCAAGGAGGTCAAGCACAATATATCCGTGTACCATATGCCGAATTCAACTGCCTTCCTCTTCCTGCTGGAAAAGAACATGAAGCGGATTTTATCCTTCTTGCCGACATATTCCCAACGGGGTGGCATGGTGTTGTACTTTCTGGCTTCCAGCCAGGAGAATCAATCGCCGTTTTCGGAGCCGGACCTGTTGGGTTGATGGCTGCGTATAGCGCAAAGCTCAGAGGAGCAAGCAAAGTGTTTGTCGTGGATAGCGTGAAGGAACGTCTACAGGCTGCAGAGAAAATTGGTTGTGTCGCTGTGGACTTCACGAAATGTGACGCTGTCGAGGAAATCATAAAACAGAATGGCCAGATGGTTGATAGGATCGTGGACGCTGTCGGGTACCAAGCTTTTGCACAAGATGGCAAGAAAGAAGTACCAAGTATTGTTTTGGAGAATTGCATCAAAGTGACGAGACCAACCGGTGGTATTGGTGTTCCTGGATTGTATGTCCCAAGCGATCCTGGTGCTCCAGATAGCAATGCTGGCCAAGGAATGTTATTGATAAGCTTTGGGAAGTTATTCGAGAAGGTGAGTTCGGTGGTAGTACTAATACAAATAAGTGTTACTGACATTTTAGGGTCTTTCCGTTGGCACTGGACAATGCAATGTCAAAGCCTACAATCGTTATCTGCGAGATATGATTATCTCAGGCGTCGCAAAACCTTCATTCGTTGTTTCGCATGAAATTGGTATCGATGAGGCACCGAACGCATATACCAAATTTGATAGAAGGGAGGATGGATATACTAAAGTTTTAATCCATCCCAACGGCCCTCTCTGAGCAAAGCAGATTTAAAATTGGCATAAATTGCGATGGCTCATACATTTGCGAATCCACTTCTGTATATATTTCGGTAGTTTACATACAATGATTAGTCTGCTTAATTCTTGACTTAGAAGATTACCGATGGCAATCATTGTATAACCGATGCAATGCCTCAACATTCAAAAGAATTCTGCTTGTGTTTGTGCTAGATAGTCTTAGAAAAGCACAAGAGAATTCATTTTCAAAGAGATGCAACGTTACTACCATATCAAGGGTGAAACCTATCCAGCAACACTACTGGCTTTCTCGTTACTTTAAATTTTTCTAGCAAACTCCGATAAAACCTGAAATTTCAAATTCGAAGAAAGTTTAATGATAGCAGGAGTGCCGTGCTCTTTTCCAGTCTTTGCAACACATGAGATCGAGACTGGGATTTAGAGTGAACAATTGCTATCAAGACTGCTATCGAATGATCTTTTGGAAACAATCATGTTGAGTTAGTGCGACTGGATGCAGAAATATGCAGGTGCTTATTGCTTCTCAGGCAACTGCTTGATGGCGTTGACTACGTTCAATTCAAATACTTTTTTCCTGTGATTTTGACCTAAAACACACTTCTGGAACTCTTCGCTACCGGAATAAAGTTGCACAACTCCTACACATGTAATGTTACATAAGAATTCGCTTGCTGCGATTGATAAATTATGGTCTCGCCATTTTTTTTCTACTGATCGTGATTCCTTAAAGCCAATCGTTGAGTGTATGGCAGGGACAACATGTGCATAGGTATATCGGCAAGCCAAATCACAGTAAAAACAAGAGGTTGGCCTCTCATATGCAAGGTCGCAAGTCACCGCGACCCCAGTTTGGACATTCGAATGTTTTGAACACGTTTGAAAGCATGCAATTGGCTCAAGACAATTAATTTTGGATTAAAAGCGAATTAAATGTTTGTGTTGAAGCGAAACCCAATTTTCTGTCGCGAAACTTGCAGCAGGTTGCTCTTCTAATGTATTGCTTGGTGAACATGTTTCAATAACATCCCCATGGTAGTTCTCTTTCATCTAAGCCATCTAGCACCTTTTGTCAGACTTCTTTGGATGAAGTAAGGTGATCATTATGTGTAAGTATCACGGCCTCGTGTAGTGTTACAGCTCATATGGTACCACAGCTTAGATTGCACGTCCAAAGCGGTCTAGTTGTAGATAATATCATCGGCATAAACATTTGAATTGAAGTTGTTCAAATATAATGAAAGCAGTCGTGAAGAAATCTTGGCTTACGCTCTGCAGCATTGTGCCAAGATTTGACGATAACATAAAGGTCCAATGGTCTGACTCCCAATGAAATGGCGATTATTGTTTATATACGCTATTGAGGCATCGATGTATTATTTTTCTTTTCAGGATAAAAGTTCTGATTCAGCTTGCAGATTTCCGAATAGATGCGCTCAGCATGTTCCCATTTCCTCTCCCGAAAATAAACGTTTGTCTTGAACTGCTTATTTAATCTTCTACGAAGTGTCACAACCGGATGTTTGTGGAACATAGAAACAAATCATTGGGTCATCGATTCATTCTTCAATTTCAATGCGTCCCAGATTGAATAGCAATCTCAAGACTTTCGAGTAACTCATTTCGAATTGCTTTCGTATGCCTTTCACAATAATAATGACAAGATCAAGGTTAAAAGTCCCAATCATCCATTCCGTAACCTTCGCGCTGGTCTTCCATTGCAAGAATTAGCCCTCCCCAAACTTCAAACTCTTGAAGTCGTCGGAGATATTTCTGTAGCGCGTTAAATCAGCTACTACCATTCTCTGACATCCAAAAGTGACATAAGATGATGATTCTCGGGAAAGGCACTGCCATACCCGGAATAGAGTACGAGAAAGCAGATTTTTGAAATCCTGTAAAACACAGTAGATATAGGATGCACTACGCCTGCATCAATCGCGATAACGTTCGGCACCTCATGTTGTGAAGAACTATTGCACTCGTAACACTTCCTTCATCGAGCCCGTTTTGCGAGGAACACGAAAGAGACTTTCTCTGAAACAGGCAAGCGTACGTCTGTATCAGATCTAGGAACAAGTTTGAATTCTGAATGCCGGATATTAATTAAAAATCTAGGCCCTTCAATTTTAAGAGCCCCAAGTCTGTCAAGGTCAAAACGATGATTTGCCTTATAACAACATCAGTTGACATGAGATTGGCTTCGAGATATTGCAGATAAACACAGGAACCATATTCATACTCTATAAGAGGATCGTATGTAAGTTAAGTTATAGGAAGAAGAACAGAGTGCATTACTGGAGAGTAGTCTTCGAAATAACACCACGGCGTGAAAATAGCACAGGATATTGTCTGACAACTACCTGTAGTACGGCTGAGGTCAATAATATGCAAGCTTCCAGCTCGGATATGCATGCAGCCTAGAATAGAAGATACAAATTCTTCACATGGAATAACATATGAAGAACAGAGAAGTCATTCATGTGTAAGCCCGCCAGTCGGAATAATTGAGCTAGGGCGTGCAATCAGTCAGTCAATGTCGTCACGAAAATTTCGTTGTCCGCAGCTTAATCATCGTGTTTTTGGAATAATTCAATATCGGATTGTTTTTAGCTCGAAGAGGTGGTGAATAGAGAGAAGCGGAAAAGAAGGAGAAGAGATTATGGGAACGAAATGTAATTGGGCATGTTTGGCGAAAGGCTTGAGGTGACCCGATCAGGTCACGTGACACAAATATACAGTAGAACGCGTTTCGCTAGCGTGTTTATCTTCCGGTCGGACAATCTCACCCACAACACCAACTCGTATTTTGCAACTGCAACCGCAACAGTACAACCGTGATCATGGAGGCATATCCCCCACGTTTGGATATCTCCCCCGATGGATGTGTTTATCTCACGGTGGTCTAGCTGGTCGAGCCTAAGACATTTGACTCTCAAGCAACTTGCTCCAACATTGGGATGCGCTCGGCTAGTAGGCTGAGCCGCTCAAAGTCCATATTAGAGTTATGACCGCGTGGGGATGTCCGCCGGACAATGTCGTACCGGAACTTGTTACAATCAATTCTGTGGTGTTATGTACTGTCAGTACGGACGTTCCTTATGCGAGGTACCACCTGGCTCCAATGCAAATTACCCTTGTATTTTGGGTACCTAATCTCGGGCGAATGAGATGCTTTCGAACCAGTCCGATTTCTTCAGGACAGCTAATCACAATAAGTGCGGCGGAATAGGACAAACCGTCCCATTTCGTATCCGTATAGGCGTTAAAACTATCTACCCGGTAATAGACCTTGATACCAAGAAGAGAGTATTGTAAAATATGGACTTGTCAGTGTTAGATCTCCAAAGAAGTCTACGTTTCTTAGTCGGCCCGCACACTCCATCATTCTAAACAAGCTTTTCGACCCTTGTTTGTCATATTATTTTGAGATTGATGACCGGACAAAGACATCAGAAGTCAATGAGCTGATAATGATCCACAGTGTTTTGCCATCATGACATGGTTGAAGGTAGAGGTTACTCCGTAAATTGATTTCAAATCAGATGAGATGAGCTGAGCACTCTTGGACATTCAATATATACAGGCCACTGCAAGTTTTGCATATACAGTTGATGAAATACCAGCGAATTTCCCTCAGGTTTTTCCACCAACTTAGTTTCTTGTATCATACTGAATATGGGGGACAAAATGTCTTTCCTGGTCTTTGGCGACCAGTCATTAGACACGCATATTTTCTTGACCGACTTTTGTCAACATGGGAGACCTAGTGTGCTTTCGAGATCTTTCCTTGAGCAGGCTGGCTCTGCCCTTAGGGAAGAAATCGATAGATTACCAAGTCTCCAGCGAAATAGGATACCAGATTTCTCCACGATACTCGAACTAAATAAGTTATATCACGCAGGAACCATCAAAAGTCCTGCTATAGACAGTGCGCTTTTGTGCATTGCTCAGTTGTCGCAATACATTGAGTTAGTATAGACCCTACATAGAGCCAGTTCTGTCACTAATATATCTAATTAGTCGCCACGAGAAAGAACATGGAGATTCGACCAGTCCTAGTGAAACCTGCCTTGTTGGCTTGTGCACCGGACTTTTTGCTGCCGCTGCAATTGCTTCTTCCCAATCGATCTCTCAACTAATACCCATCGCTATTCAAGTGATGTTGATGTCATTTCGAACGGGTTCATACGTCGCAGCCCTCGCCGACAGGCTCGATAGCCGATCAGAGTTGCCAGAAAGCTGGACTTACGTCGTTCCCGCTGCCCAGGAGAGCGAGGTAAATTCGACACTCAGTGACTTTCACAAAGAAAACGTGCGTTGTAATCCGCTCATTTTGCCGATTTTTACTGACTTTGCAAAGGAAACACCTATAGTAAATCAAGTGTATATTAGTGCAACAACCTCAAAAAGCATTGCGATAAGTGGGCCTCCTTCCACATTGAGATCACTTTTTGCATCTGAGGCTTTCCAAGCGAAACCAGTCTCCATTCCTGTTTACGGCCCCTACCATGCTCCCCATCTTCGTTCGAGTTTGAATGTAGAGCATATTTTACATTTAAAAGATAAAAAAGTCCGAGAAGCGTTTGGAAATCTCAAGACTAGATTTCCTGTGATTTCTTGTACGACCGGGACTTGGTATACCGAACAAGAGCCAGAATTGCTACTCCAAGCCATTCTACTAGAGATGCTGACAGAGCCAATTTTATTCAGCAAAATTCTTCAAGGGTGCGTGCAGAAAGGAAAAGAGTTCCAGGGCCGAGAGTGCCTGATTATTCCATTCGGTAAGAATTGTTTCCAGAGAAACGTTGTCAAATTGCTAATTTTGAGTAGGGCCTACGAGTGCAGCCAAAGTCTTAGCAGCGGTACTAGAATCTCAGACGGAACTTGACATAACTTTGCGATCGCCCCAATCCGGAAATCAACAGGCAGCTAAGCAAAGAAGCTCGATGGAAGTTTCTCCAGGGAAATGCAAGCTTGCCATTGTCGGAATGGCTGGAAGGTTTCCAGATGCTGCAAGTCACGAAAAATTATGGGAATTACTTGAAAATGGCCTAGATGTCCATCGAGAGGTACCGAAAGACAGATTCGATGTTGCGACACATTTCGATCCTACAAGCAAAATCAGAAATACCAGTCATACTCCTTACGGGTGTTGGATTGAGAATCCAGGACTATTCGATCCCAGATTTTTCAACATGTCCCCTCGAGAGGCATATCAAACGTGTCCTATGCAACGTCTTGGTCTTGCAACAGCATACGAAGCTCTAGAAATGGCTGGTTACGTTCCAAATAGAACCCATTCCACAAAGCTGGATCGAATTGGTACATTCTACGGGCAGACGAGTGACGACTGGCGTGAGATAAATGCAGCCCAAGATGTGGATACGTATTTCATTACGGGAGGTGTAAGAGCCTTCGGACCTGGTCGAATCAATTATCATTTTGGATTTTCAGGACCATCTTTCAATATCGATACAGCTTGTTCCTCTAGTGCCGCTGCGCTCCAACTTGCCTGTACATCTCTATGGGCCGGAGATTGTGATACAGCCGTCGTTGGTGGTCTCTCGTGTATGACGAACCCAGATATCTTTTCAGGACTTAGTAGAGGGCAATTTTTGTCAAAAAATGGACCATGCGCTACTTTTGATCATGATGCGGATGGTTATTGCAGAGCAGACGGAATTGGGACTGTTATCATCAAGAGGTTGGATCATGCACTAGCTGAGTAAGTCTAATTCTTGAAATTTATCCTCCATGTTTCTAAACTGATTTGTTTGCTTTCTCTAACAGTAAGGACAATGTTTTGGCTGTTATTCTTGGAAGTGCTACCAACCACTCTGCAGACGCTGTTTCTATCACCCACCCTCATGGAGGAACACAAGAGATTCTCTACAAGCGTATTTTGAATAATGCGGGTGTTGATCCCAATGATATTGACTACGTGGAAATGCATGGTACTGGGACTCAAGCCGGCGATGGAACGGAGATGAAATCTGTTACCAACGTTTTCGCTTCGGCAGACCGAAAGAGAAGACCGGATCAACCGCTGTATCTCGGGGCTATCAAAGCGAATGTTGGACACGGTGAAGCCGCATCTGGTGTCACCGCTCTCATAAAATGCTTAATGATGCTGCAGAAGAATGCCATACCCCCTCACGTTGGAATTAAGAAGACTATCAATCAAGGATTTCCCAAAGATCTCAAGGAACGCAATGTACACATAGCCTTCAAGAACACGCCACTTCCTAGAAAGAAGTCGGGAGCTCCACGACGTATCTTTGTCAATAATTTCAGCGCTGCTGGTGGAAACACCGGATTATTGCTTGAGGATGCACCTGAACTTCCTTCCAAAATTACCGACCCTCGTTCTACACATGTTATTGCGATCACTGCCAAGTCTAAGTCTGCCATGCTTAACAACGCAGAGCGTCTAATATCTTATCTCGAACGAAATGGAGACATAAATCTGGCAGATTTGGCATATACGACTACTGCACGTCGAATACAGCATAAATGGAGAATGACGGTAACCGCAAGCGAAGTATCCGAAGTCTCAACAGCTCTGAAATCCAAATTACACGAAAAATTCATTCCAGTGCTTCCAGAGCCACCAAAAGTTTCATTCTTGTTCACAGGTCAGGGATCTCAATATGCTGCTATGGGTCGCGAGTTATTCGAAAATTCATCCCTATTCAAAGAAACTATCATGGAATTTGATAATCTTGCTACAGTTCTCGGCTTCCCATCATTCATCTCCTTGATTGATGGCAGTGTGACTGATGCCCAAGGACTGTCACCTGTGGTGGTGCAGCTTTCAATTGTGTGCTTGGAAATGACAATGGCTAAACTCTGGGAGTCTTGGGGTGTTAAACCATCTGTTGTAATTGGCCATAGTCTTGGTGAATACGCCGCACTCAATGTTGCCGGAATATTGTCTGCTAGTGACACCATTTACTTGGTTGGACGTCGAGCTCAGCTCTTGGTTGAACGATGCACTGCTGGTACTCATGCAATGCTTGCTGTTCAAGGATCGAGATCGGCAGTGACCGAAGCATTAGGCGACATTGGAACCTCAGTGAACATCGCTTGCATCAACAGTACTCGAGAGACAGTTCTTAGTGGCGAGGCTGCTGAAGTTTCGAATGTTTCTGATCAACTTTGCAACTCTGGTTTCAAATGCACGCAACTAAAAGTCCCCTTTGCCTTTCACTCTGCTCAAGTGGAGCCAATATTGGACCAATTCGAAAAGTTGGCTGCATCTGTACACTTCGGTAAAGAGAAAATCCCTTTTATCTCGTCCTTGTTTGGTAGATGCCTTAACGAATCTGAGGACATTGACGCTGCATATCTCCGCAACCATGCTAGACAACCTGTCAATTTCTTAGATGGACTCGTTTCGGCCCAAAATTCAGGTGTCATAGACGAGAAAACTGTCTGGCTTGAGGTAGGACCGCATCCAGTATGCTTGGGACTCATTAAAGCTACCGTCGGTACTTCCACTATTGCTGCTCCATCCCTCCGCAGAAATGAAAGTGCATATAAAACTCTCAGCAACAGCCTCAGCGTCTTGCACACTGCTGGTCTTGAAATTGATTGGAATGAGTATCACCGAGATTTCAATAATTCAGTCCGTCTTCTCGATTTACCCACCTATGCATTCGACGACAAAAATTATTGGATTCAGTACGCGGGAGATTGGTGCTTGACAAAAGGACAATCGCCAGACAAAGCTCCTCTTCAGCTCGAGCCCCCCAAGCCTAAGCCCTCAACCTCGACCATTCATAACGTCGTAAGTGAAAAGATTGAAGGAGACGTTGCCGTTGTTACTGCCCAGTCTGATCTAGCACGCGCTGATCTTCGTGGGGTTGTTACTGGTCATCTCGTTAACGGCGCCATGTTATGCCCATCGGTTAGTAATTCGATGTGAAACCCCTGCTCAAGCTAACAGTGTTCTAGTCTCTGTACGCAGATATGGCCATGACTTTATGCGAGTACGGTTATAAGCTTCTTCGGCCTGATGTCAAGAATCTAGGCTTAGATGTTGGTAGAATGAAGGTACCCAAACCATTGATAGCTGACCCAGGTGGAAAATCTCAAATACTCACTCTCACTGCTACAATCAATGTGGCAAATGGTCGTGCCGACCTTCTATTTTCAACGGGCACTGACAAAGCTCGAGTCGAGCACGCAAACTGTCAAGTCTACTTTGGTGATACCGAAGAATATCATGCCGACTTTCAACGAACTGCATATCTCATTCAGTCACGAATCGATTGGTTACAAGAGGCTGAGAGGAATGGCAAAGTCTCTAAAATCAATCGTGGACTTGCCTATAAGTTGTTTGCTGCACTGGTAGACTATGACCAGAAATATCGTGGTATGGAAGAGGTCATCCTTGATAGTATGAAGATGGAAGCTACATCACGTGTCGCCTTTCAAACTACGGAGCGAGATGGGACGTTTAAATGCAGCCCGTACTGGATTGATAGTGTGGCGCATATCTCTGGATTTATCGTCAATGGTTCTGATGCTGTTGATTCACGAGAAAAGGTCTACATCTCACATGGTTGGGATTCTTTGAGATTCTCGGAACCTTTAAGTGCGGATAAGACCTACCGCTCCTATGTCAGGATGCAGCAGCGCAAAGACAAGACTATGGCCGGCGATGTTTACGTGTTTGATGGGGATACGATTATCGGTATGGTCGGTGGGTTAGCCTTCCAAGCCATCCCTCGAAAAGTTCTCAATATGTTCTTGCCACCAGTAGGCGTTACCGCCGCAGCTCCCGCAAAGCCATCTGCTGCGCTCCGGGCACCTCAAGCTCCCAAGGCCTCGAACCCAAAGGCTATCAAGAAGGTTCAGGTGACAAAAACTAATCTCTCGAAGGTCAATGAAAAGCTCACGTCAATTACTGCTCAAGTTATGGATATCCTTGCAGCCGAAGTTGGCGTACAACACGATGAACTTGTTGACAACGTCGCCTTTACCGATCTCGGAGCCGACTCGCTCATGGCCTTGACAGTTTGTGGAAGATTACGGGAAGAGATGGACATTGATATTAATTCAAACGAATTCATCAATCATCCTACAATTGGAGCTTTCAAGTCATTCTTATCACAATTCGAAGGAAAACCATCTGTTGCTTACAGCGAAGATCCAAGTTCGCCTGTCACTACGCCTAGTCCTGGGGAATCAGTACACGACCCACAAGATGACTCGGAATTCACAGATCCTTCAGATGATGATATATCTACCATTGGGGTCTTGGATAATCTCGGTGATGTAATTAGAGTTACAATCGCCGAGGAAATGTCGGTTGATGTTCTAGAGGTTGCGAGTTGCCCTGATCTCGCTTCACTTGGTATGGATTCACTCATGGCTCTTACAGTGCTTGGACGATTGCGAGAGAAGACAGGCCTATCTCTTCCATCTGATCTCTTCCAGGTCAACCAGACTATTCGTGATATTGAGAAGGCTCTCAACGTCGAAGCGCCTTCAAAGCCAAAGCCTAAGCTTAAATCTAAGGCTCCATCCGAGCAGCCAAGGCCATCTAAACCGTCAGCCCCTATCTCAAAATCGAACATGCAGTCTACTTCTCAAAGAATAGCCAGTTCAATCTTACTTCAAGGGAATTTGAGGAAAGCCAGGAAGTATCTTTGGATGGTTCCAGATGGAGGCGGATCCGCAACTTCATACACCGAGATCCCGGCGCTCTCATCTGATGTTGCTGTCTTTGGTCTCAACTCACCATATATGAAGACCCCAGAGGAATTCACCTGTGGTGTAGTGGGTATGGCTACTCACTATATCACAGAGATGAAGCGTCGCCAGCCAACGGGGCCCTATACCTTATCCGGATGGAGTGCTGGTGGCGTCATCGCTTATGAAATAGTCAGCCAACTTACCAAAAATAACGAAGTTGTCGATAAGCTCATTCTCCTTGACTCTCCGTGTCCTGATATTATCGAACCTCTTCCATCTTCACTTCATAAGTGGTTCGCTGAAATTGGTCTTCTTGGCGATGGCGATCCAAGCAAAATTCCAGAATGGCTTCTCCCTCATTTTGCTGCTTCCGTGCAAGCTCTTTCGACTTACATGCCTGAAGCAATAGATCCTAAGAAAGTACCTCAAGTGATGGCAATCTGGTGTGAAGACGGCGTTTGTAAATTACCAACAGATCCACGACCGGATCCTTTCCCATATGGCCATGCTCAGTTCTTGCTGGACAATAGAACCGATTTTGGGCCTAACATATGGGATAAATATTTGGGTAACGAAAAGTTTGTTACCAGACATATGCCAGGGAATCATTTTTCTATGATGCACACGCCTCATGTAAGTTGAATAGCATTATTGAAATCGGCGCATATAAACTGACTACTTCACAGATAAAGCTCCTAGGGGATTTTATGAGGGAGGCTCTTACCATGTGATAGGATAGATTTCATGCTTGTTTATGTTTATGGTATTAGAATTTGGTGGTACTTGGTTTGGTGGATGCTTTTGATTTTGACAATATTCCCTTTTCATAAATACTACTTTCGTTACTGATGTCTACATATGATAACCCAATCTACGCACTGAAATGACCCATGAGATTTAAACATATTTCTCCAACTATATCCTTGAATAGTCCATGTGTATAATACGGTGACTGCATAAAACGGCAAAAATGATATTTTTGACATTTTAGGTATCCACCGCATTATAATATCATTTTTCCCTCCAAGTTCAATTTACTCGGGGAAAATAGCTTTAGTGAATATAAATTTGGCGCTAGTACGCAAAAGACAAATAGGTACCTATTGAATGCAAGGCTGTGATATAGAAGTAGCATGTCACCGAAATCTCGTGTATACGCGAGCCGATACCATTGCCTCCCAACCCCACATATCTGCACTCGCGCCACACTCCACACCTACGATCATCCATACTCCTTGTATATAAATCAGCATGTACTTCGCGTTTTCAAACGCGGCAGGGAACATGCGCAAATGAAGCCACCAATATGTATCTGCATCGATTCTGCATCTTACTCTTAGACGATCCTTGTCCGTCAACCCACCTCATAGGTTGTACAGCGTTTTTTCCAGCCTGCGTATTTGAGATTCGATTGCGAGCGGGACATGGGACTTTCAATACTCCTTGTGTTCCAGTTGCATCCTGATAAGAACTATCGTGGAAGATAAGATGACGGTCATAGGCAAGGACAGGGGTTACTAAACGTACATAACGGTCGATATCTATTTGGGAAACTTGCTCGTTCCGAGCCTCCCGGGTATCCTGCGAGCTGAGAAAGCTCGGGATCTATATACCACAAGCGAAGGTGGCCCGGAAGCTTGTATCACATTCCGTTGAATTCATGATTTAGCTCACAAGTAGTCTGGGGAAATTAATGTATTCATTGGTTTGTTTTCATATGATCTTCATCCAATGCCGTAGTAAAAGGTCTAGGTCCGGATTGCAAATGCCGTTGAGACGATATAGCCTGAATTCTTAACCTTCTTCTCGGGTGTATCCGAGTGGAAGATGTAGCAGCCTTGAAATGCGATTGGACGAGCTGCGAAATTGGGAATGGGCTGCATATGTTTAGCATATTAATTGGTTCTTGGGTATTTCTTAAGCTTGTTTTTTGTAGGTCTTCATTCATGAAATATTTGAATGGCAAGTTGTGTCTACACAATACAATTTTGTCGATATTGAATGCAGAAAAATTAAGATAAATCACAGCTTCCTAAGCTATGAAAGGTGTAGTGTCAAGTAACATGAGGGTGATATACTTGACGTCGGTCATGTATCGTGAAATTTAAAGTAAATGATTTCAACCCTTTTTCTTCCTTCAATCAAAATTATAGAATCCCAGTATTTAGGTTGTCAAATTCCGTGGAGTCATCGACAAGCTGCTCTTGTGAGTTATCTAGGGCAAGCAGTCTCTCGATCGGCGGTGCCAATCTGGCGGTCACCTCGTTGGCCGTCTTACACGTCATTACTCTTAATTAAAACTCACTGATAGTAGCTCCACCATCGTTTTTGGGTGCTCGACAAATACGAGTCTCTTCCATTGTACTCGTGAGTTGTACACTCTCAAGGTGTCCATCAGCTTTTCATGGTGAGCCACTGGCAAAGAAATTGCAGGTAGCACAAAGGTTGCCTCAAAGATACCAATACCAAGGTCGTAGGCTGACAATTACAAGAACCACGATAACGCTGCCTTCGCAGCAATGTACTGACATATCTTGATGCGATGCACGTAATAATTTGCATCTTTGAATAAAACTTGGTTCAAGATCGTTGTGCAGTTCCAAATTAATATCGCCATACATCTTGGATATCTAATCTTGGTTTGTTTCAAAGCTGATCGTGTGCTGTATAATCATCGTGTCATCGATCAAAATAATAAGAAAGGCGATTGTCAGTCATGCTGGCGTGAACAAGGATATTGTCTATTCACTTGACGATATCGACTAATCCACGTATATCCGCATTCAATTCAATAGCTCTTTGACTCCCTGCAAAATCTACCGCCTCAAGTAACGCTCTCTGTTGGTAGACAGATTCAATTGCAATGAGCCGTTGCTGTCCAGGCATCAATGCCAGTTCACGGAGAAGGTTCACCGGCTGACTGGCAATACTACCATCCCCATACCAATACCCTTCCCCGAGCTGGTACAATAATACGCTCTATCTGTGAGTGTGTCAATATGTTTGGATTATGAATACGATGTGGTGGGTACGATCTCACTTGCATAGACGGCTGACTAGAGCTGGTCTAGGGCTGGAAGAAGCGGCCTGTTTTAAATTATCTCAGTGTCTTGGAATGAGGCCATGAATATCTCGTGAAGTAATTTGAAAACGATCCCCCAGCTTTATATTGATCGATTTGATTTTATGTTAGATCTCATGATCGCTTACCAAGGCATGGTGCATGCAAGTCCTAATCACGAGGGAAAAACGTGATCGGCTTCATAGAAAGTGTCAAATTCCGATCGTCTGCAACAAGCCAATCTTTTCTCAATTGGTATAATCTTGTTGGTTGTTTGCATAGTAGAACAAGCACTAAGCTTTATAGCGGGATACCCCACCGGATGTCCGGGGAAGGCAAAGCCTAATCAATGAAATTTGCACATACCAACTTGAGGAATTAAACATTGCAGGGTTTCAAAACTGGTAGTCAAACTTTCTCCCGTTTCGAGATGTCATTCCATATTTAAAGTTCTCTATACCAACGAGTGCCCCTGACACCTTCTCGTTAGTTCGGCGCCAAGAGTTATTTCCCAGCCAAATTCCCAGAATCTCAGATGAGATACACATCAACAGCCGTGCTCCATCTGCAACCAATGGCTACTTCCTCATCTATACCAATTTATTGACCTAAGTTCCCCATCTCCAGCTGTCTGTGGAGGCATATTTGTATGTGATCCCAGCCTTTTGTTGGTAAGTCTTTTGTGCTACAAAGGGCTCTCTGGAAGCGACGCAAAACAAAATTATGAATAGTGACGTTCGGAGATGGGTGTGTGATTTAGTAAAATCTCAGGGTCCAATGATTTTCCAGCTTATGTGAGCCTGTAAATAAATTCTACGATAACAAAATACAACATGGTAAAGTAACGTCGGATTTCAGACATTTCCTTATACCAACATCAGAATAATTCTAACCCTCGAAACGTACACGTCCGAAACTCCTATGCAAATGCATATCCGACGCTCTATGTTCTCTGCAATATGATTTCCATGTTCCAATTCTTCGAGAACGCCAATAATTTCCTTCTTATCCCGTCCGACACTGGTAGAGTAACGCCAAATTCGAGTAACGAGATACAATGGCTCATAACATCATTAGGCCTATGAAGTTCCACGTATCCGTCGGCCTTGCTGAGTACTGGAATACCTTCACCATTCCATAGATAAGCTTTGACAGAGGGATGGTTGGGTGCCACTGCATCAATCGGAAATATTGAGCCCTTATCACATTTTTGTGTATAGGTGTCGATACGTGATACACTTTCAAGCCATAAGATCATAGTGGCACGATAGATAGCTACCGACCACCAACGCGGACGTCCCTCTTTTGCCATCGAAGATACAAGACGAATGACTTGTCCACAATGAAAAACAGCTTCTCCAGAATTGTAAATGCATCTTTTGTAGCGAAGCGAAAGTTCCAAGCTTGTTCCATCAAAGTCCTCTTTTCGTGCTAGCCGCTCAATTTCTGGAAAGAATGTCACCGCATTCAAACTTATGAGGTGATACAGGACGAGATTGGCTCGAGTAACTTGACAACTTGGATCGTTTCTAGCATGAATCTCACACAAGTCATACCATTTCTGGAGCAATGACTGAGCTTCCTGAAGACGTAGTAGATTGGACGCTTTGGTAACGGATCTAGTTCCTTGTCGGGAGTTATACATTTCAGAATGAAAAGTTAAAGCTTGATGCAGATGACACAAAGAGCTATGAATTGGGTGAAGGAGAAGTTTTAGCTGTAGTGGAGACAAGTTTCCGTGTCGACGTTCGATATTGTCCGATAACATGTCTCGGAAGAGGCCACAGAGTGAAGGTCCTACTGGTGGTGTGTCGATAGAATTTGGATTCAGGAGCCAATCAGTGCCGATATATGTTTGCTGAGCAATTGCTGCCCAATCATTTGCATCTTTAGCCAGCCATAAGCACTCTATTCCGGGCATTGGAGTCTCAAGTTCTGTGATTGACATAATAGGTGAGGTATCGTGGAATAAACTCAGCTCCTGGTCTACCATGACCCAGTTGTAGACCAACCTAAAATATTGTCAGCCTCCGTATATAAAGAATCAACACGATTGAACGAATTATAATGGTTCATTGGATTGTAATGGATGGACACGGATTGAGATTTTGTCTTTGAAATCTTACCTGCTTTTCTTTTCTCTTTGTAGCCAAATTCTCCACTGGTCATCTAGATTCGATGATTCGTGAAAGGATGGCGCCATTGGTATGTGAGGCTCCAACATACCAGTATGTTTTAGCATCTATATTCAACAAATAAGTACCTTGAAAGCTTTGATTTAGTGGTTACTTACCGCAAGATACATCCCTCGTTGTGCCATAGCTAGGTTCATGTGAGAAGCATCTCCACCCCAAGCACCGAGTATCGTGAAAAGCAGTGCGCATTTGAACACGACAGGATCAGCTGATAAATCAACGTTTTTTTCTATGACCTTAAATAGCGATATGCGACAAGCTTCCGTAAGCCCCGCGGTCAAACATCTAGCTTCAGCAGTTGGAAGAGCTGCAGCGCCATGTGCTATCATTAGCAACAATAGTAATGTTGAAGTTTGATTGTTCAGCATTAATTCGTTGGGATCAAGGTTTCCTCCATTGATGAGAGTATAGTAAGGAGCCAAACTTCGAACGTGACTTCGAAGGAAATACTCCAGGACGTTTGATGGAGGTAGAACAAGGAAATTGAATCCTGCATCAGGACTTGTGTAATTGGAAGATTTTGGCCAACCTTTCAAACCTCCTCGATGTGTTTCTAAAGCTGTATGAAGAAAACTTTGCGTGATGGCCATTATTCTATCTCTGGTGCTTGCACTCACAGGTATAACAGATATTCCATCTCCATATCGAATCTCGGCCGGTTCCAAATCATGATTTAGCGAATCCCATGTGGCGTCATGCTTCGAATGTTGCTCTAGATTCTCGAGGTACGCTATAGCCGTTCTTGCTGACGGTCCAGGAATCAATCGTGGATTGCATCGTGCAAGAGGCCACGCCGATTCTGCGGCCACCAAGAGTTCAAAGTCATCAGAGCTATTATCTGTCAGAATCGGAACCGCGATTTCGACAAGCTTGGCTGGACGATTAGCATCTGAAGAGATGCTAGCGCTCTTAGTATGTGACATCGATGGAGATGGATGCAGAGATCCAGTAAATAGTGGCTCTGAAATTGAAGAAGTATCGCTTGGTTCCAGAAAGTTTGGCGTTACTAGACTGCTGGATAATTCAGATCCCATCGAGTATATTTCAATATCTAAGGGGTAGTGACTCCATGCCATCAGATCATGGTAATTGACGTTCCCACTGTTGCCGAACATGGAGTGTTCCATCCCCCCAAGGCTTTCGCCTGGGGAGGGCCCGAAGCCATCAACATTAAATCGTAAATCTTGGGCAGGATATATATTTTTCTCTGGTGTTGCTACCATAAATTGCGGATCTATGGGTGTCTCTGTGGGACTGACTTTGGTTTCCGGTAATGTTTCTTTTGGTGCTGTGTCCTGATCCATGGGGTCATGGGGTGGCTCTTGTGTTGGTGGTGTCTTTTTGTGCGAGCTTGAGGACCGGTTCGCAGCCTTTGATGAACGTCGGGCATATCTACTCGCGCATGGTAGATTTTTCTCAGAACATCTTGAGCAAGGAACCCTTTTATCGCAGCCGGTTTTTGCACTAGCGCAATTGATGCACGCAATGGGTGTTCGACCATTAACCGTTGGAACACCACCTGGTAATGGCTCCATTGGATCTTTTGCTTCATGATATGTGGAGTGATGTCTTTGAAGAAGATCTCTAGATATTGCATGGTTAGTGGATCTCGAGTCTTGACATAGCCAAAGTACGGGGTGTGAATACCTTCTGGGAAAAGATAGTTGACACAGTGTACACCTATGTGGCTTTACGTTTGTGTCTGCAAGATAGAGAGTCTATATTAGAATTTCCCTATTCAATGGTGATAATAGAAGATTTTGTTACTTACGGCTCGGTATATGTCTTTCTAAATGTTCCTTCCGAGTAAAACTCTTTCCGCAATATGTGCAGAAAATCATATTCTCCATTTAACATCGGTAGTGGTTCTCTTCCTCTTTATCGTAGCTTCCATTGATGGGGGATCTGATAGAGATTTGAATAGTTAAGGATTGCAACTCCTAAGCATATCGTGCTGAAAGCGGCTGACAGCTTTATGCCTGGCCGAGTGTCAAAATAGCTTGCAAGAAAGTCCTATGGACAAGGCTTAGATTTGACAAACATTTGATAAGGATAAGAGTAGGTGACCATGATATTAACAAAGACGAACCATACATCTTATGCATGGTCAGACCACACTCATTCATGGTGGCAGGGATTCAGAGGCACCCGATCTCTAATTCGCCGACTAGGGAAATGTCGTATTAGCCATGCAGTGGCTTCGTGGTAATCGTGAAGCTTGATGTTAATATTGGAATCGAGGCTGGAACCAATGATATTAGTGCTGCTGGCCTGAAGGATGTGAAGATTCCTCTTTGTACAGGTATCTGAAGAGCGGTACATAGTCTTGACACCCTAGTGAAGATCTGATGGAGGGTCCAATCCCAGCCGGAAAGCCGCAGCTTGGGAGCTTGGCTAACAGCTGAGCTAGGACTTTTGACATTGATAATACACTCGTAATTAATAAACAAACTGTAGGTAGCCATCTTTAAGACTTAAAGTGGTAGCAATTTTATCGTGAAGATAATTAATTGTACAAACATGTTTTGGGATACTGACGAGCCAACACCCTACCAGGCTAAATCACAAGTATTGTCACATGCAGAATCCTTGTTTAAGCATTCTTGTATGATTTCAAATCATCGTTACTTGGATATAATAAATCCCACGTGTACCTATGTATGCAGTTAAGACGGGATGTTAATTAAATTTTGTTTGTGCCATCATTATGCAAGATTCCGGTACAGAAAAACGAGGTCTGCAGTGGTAAGTACCACAAACATCAAAAGTAGTATACTGTACATATTTTGCAATACTATACCCCTTCTGGAAGACCGCAGTAGATCTAGTGCGTGAAACAGGAAGAGTACCGGTGGAAGTCTGATCAAGCCGTTGAATGAAGATAACAAGAACAAATGTTTGTAACGATAGACGAAAAGAAGTAGTTAGACTAGTGTCGTTTAGACAAATCGGGTCTCATCATTCGATACCTAACAAACGAGGTAACATCGAGACTAACAAGGGACCGTAAGCCTAAATATCGGAATAAGGTACGTGTAAGGATGTTAGATAAATTACCCTGGTATGAACGTCAGGATTATGCACGTCATAGCATGGTAGTTAATAGCAGTTCGAACAACGCATAATCTTCATGTCTAGTTGGGGTAGTCATAGGAACGCGAGGAGACGATTGATTGCCCATGAACCCTACCCACATTCCCAAAACATTTCCAAAGGGGAAATCGACGTCTGTTTAATCTGTATGAGGGCTTTGTGGCTTGAAATCTTAGATATACATCTAATGTTTCACGAAGGCAGTACAACCACACCTTAATTAAAATTCCTTCTCCAGCTCCTCCATTGAGAACGTGAAACCTTGGCGAGTACTTTGGCTAAGAATGGAGAGTTTGTACAAATATTAGTTCCGAAGGGGTACTGCTCGGTACCAGAACATGGTGAAAGTATCCGAATTTCGTAGATGATGATCGAAAGAAATTATACGAGGCACTTGGCATTCCGAAAAAGTTACTTCTAGAATGGGCATTCTGGAAAAGAATTTTGGGATGAGCTAAGAGCCAGTATTAACCTATCAATCGTCCGAAAGTCTTACCTCGAGGGAGCTCGCGAGGAATCGAAACACTATTCCAAATCATACCCCGCTAGTCATGGCCACCACATTCCAGCTCACCCAACCATGAAAACCCCCACAGTTGAAGGGCTGATCCTGGGGAATACAAATACTTTCAAGACTTCACCCCGCTGTCCATGAAATGCCAAACGAGACCTTATTGAATACTGTAGAGATCAGCTGTACGCTTAAAAGCGCCTTTTAACCTCCATCCAAGAACAAGGCTGCTATCTAATTGTACACTCCGTATTTCAAGTGCTATTTGCGATCAGTAAACGATTTCGTGGAGGTGGCCAATAATTCTCATTTAGATCCATGGGTTCCATTGGCTGTCAGTTTCATGAGCCTGCGATCATTAGAGCGATGACATCTCAAACCTCAAGAAACATAGAACACAAGAATCTCCAGTAACCGTCTTGGGAATCCTGCGATGGCGCGGAGAGCCTTGCCAAAATGGAAGGTGCGACTTTCATTTGGAGTCACGAGTAGTTCAACTTGTCTGTTTTGAAGAAAAAGTGAGTCTCCTTGCTGATAAAACGAACGGCTCCTGTGGTACAATTGGAGCATTGATAGAACATTATCGCATGCTCTTACCTTAAACTGTGTATCATTTCGATTGAGTGTACCCGTACAGTTTTTCGCTGGATCTTCACGTTGGACTCGAGCGACATTCAGGTGCTGCCCATGAAACAGCTTACCCCACGGTTCAAGAGCTGTCTAAATCAGCCCGACCTTCTCGCTTAACCATCAACCCCCATCTTCTGATTTTAATGTTTCATCCCAGCTCCTCTACTCCGCCAATTGTATTACTAAAATTGCCTATAACTGGACCTCAGTTGGGAAGGATTTAGATGACCTTACTGGTATACCAGCCCTACATGAATTTCATTCCGATATTAATATGACATACGGATCCGAGATTGCCGTTGATTTTACTCCTGAACGCGGCTGAAATCCGAGTACTTGTGAATGGAACTTGAAATTTCTCAAGCTAACTCCATGATCAAAGTTCTTTTAAATTCAAAAAATTCGTGTAGATACTGACCACGTATACATCATAGAGTCGTCTCGAACTCGTTAATCAAGCTGGTGTTACCATAAGCTTGATGATGTACGGGATAATACGAGGTGCAAGTTCTTCAGCATCAGCACGTTTGGTCGTAACTCCGCGTATCAAAGAACACTAAGTATCGGCATGAAAATAAAATATTAATAGTTTACTATCGGTCAGATTTTAGCATTGAACACGGCCGGTGGTGGTACAAGTTTGCGAGTCATAGAATCATGACCAGCTCCCAGTTGTCAAAAAATATCACATGACTGCCAGAATTATGTTCTAAACAAAAGTTGTGAAATATTTAGGGCATTAAGCCTTGAATCTGCAGATGACAAGTATCAGTACAAAATCAATGCCGGAGGTACATTACATCAGGGGTTGCGGTAGATTACAGCCGACACTTGGCACCGTTTCATAGCCCTGAACACATCACGACCACATTAAAATTTGCTCTTAATACACAAATACTGATGGAGAAACTCATGTAGTTTATGAGATAGATCTTATAGTTCAAACGAATAATGATCGTCCAGACTATCAGCCGCTATGGATGACATGTTTAGACAGAATTCCAACTTTTGAGGCGAAGTTTGTAACTGAATCAAGATTACGCAGGTCTGTTAAAAAGTGTGAAAGATTTGAGTCACTCATCAAGATAGTGGTTACAACAGATGTCGGATATGTAAGCCCTGAATTGATATGTTAACTAGGCATAGAGGTATAGAAGTTGACTGATCAGAAGGTAGTCAAGAAGTACATCTATGATTAATGCATATGCAGATACGGTACTCTTCATCGATCACATAAGTTTCATGCTAGATAGTTACGACAAAACAATCTATTAATAACAGGCAACTAGAGTAATCTGGAGTCTCGTAAGGACGCCAGTGCGTGATTTTGCAGCATGGCTCAGGCCATTGGCCGTTGGCCACGTAAATATCCACTGGAAACGATCATAAATCCCGACAACCACTTCCACGGATCGTCGCTTCCGTTTCTTGGAATAGTCTCTGAAGATAGTCATATTTAATAGCTACTAGATAAAATGAACAGGGTGGATTATTATGATTTGAAGTGTCTCAAGAGCCTTCTAGAGTGATCCCGAGACTAATTACGCCAATCATGACTTCCAGTAGCTTTGACGAATCAGATATACATGCCTACAGCGATTTCAGGAACAGGGCTCAGGGCCAGTACCGACTCGTCAATCGTAGTGCCCAGGTATTTTGAGATAAGATCTAAAGTTGACAATCTGATCACTGCATGGAAATCGAATACTTGAACTCCTACGCGACGGGCAGATTTCGAAACATCCCCGCATTCTTGCCAAGATTATTTCTAGCGTATCGAGAAGCTTACCGAATATGAGGTGAAAACGCCACTTCGAGCTATTCTAAGTTATATCACCTCTCAAATAATGGCGAGGATCAGGCTCGTTAACTAGCCAGGGCAATTCATGCAGTGATCAAATATCTGTACTACTCATATGTAAAAGGATATAGATCACTTCAAGTGAGATTGTAGGTACTTGGAACCATCATATGAGTGATAAGATATAAGGATCTGGCGTTGTTGATGAACCTCCCGCCTTGATGAAACAACGATTAGCCGATATCACATCACTTTGCCCCATACTTGGCAACTCCCTTCAAAGCTTACCCGTTCCAAGTTTATGGCATATCCACGCTCTAGACTATGACTGGGGACAAAGTTTGAAGGTTCTGAGACCTTGGAATCTGATGTGTTTATCTTAGAACACCTTACGGATCATTCATGCCTGGATCCTTGAAACTAGGTTATATTATGTATTGGATAATTGAAACTAAATCAATGGATTAGTAAACGCGGCGCCCAGCTATTCATGGATGGAT